AAAGAGTGGGGCTGCAGTACTAATTCAGAGCAACTGAAGTAATTAAGGACATCTCTGTTTTCTCTCTGCTCATCAGTCTTCAATGGCAATATCTGAAGTGTGAGAGTGAAATTCTGAACCAGGATCTTGATGAGGTGTTGAGTGTTTTGGTTTAGTTATTTTTCCCCCAGAAGCATTCTTTATTTATGTGCCAGATAACTAATGTTAACAGATTTTATTCTCTAATTTTCTCAGCTTTATGAGCGTATATGGTTACAATAAACTATTAGATTTGACTTACTCATTAGACTCCAAAATTTTTTAGGATAGAATTATAGTAGTTAGTTCTCATGCTCTTTGGAGTGATTATTACTTGCTATGTCAGTTCATTCTCAACACATTGGTTTTCAATCTATTTGAAGTGCTGCTGAAATTTGAAGCTAATACAGATACTTGGGACTGAATCCTTATTTGTGCAGTATCAGTTCGTTTAAATGAAGATAGTTACATTCTTATTTCTTGGCTGAAAGTGACTGTGGTGTTTCATCATTGTCTGTGAGTTTATGTCAAAAAAGCTCTTGGGAGACTTTAGAGAGGAAGAAAAACTGAAAAGCTAGAGAAGCCAAGTAGTTTCTCAGATCACATCTGAAGAGGGAATACAAGAAACTAAATTCAGGGTTAAAAAGGGAAGTAACAACTTGTGTTAGTGTGGTAGTCCTTGGAGAACTAAAATCTAGGCTCTTGCCATAACAAAATACAAATTTTAGCAAACCATTTGGAATATTGGAAAAAAATTACCTTGGTTATAGTTTTTGGCAGATTTATTTTTAACAGATGACAGATTAAAAAGCTGGAGGTCAAACTCAGCCTGAGAGTGATAACAGCTGAAAGGGGCCAGTGAAAAATCACAAGTTTTTGAACAATTACAGGTTTCCACGCATTAGTATTCATGCAGACTTTGTGTTTTATTTGACTTAAACCAATGTTACGTTTTCTTTTAGTCTGTCAGCTCTCCGCTGCAGTCTCTTCAGCAAAGAACATGGCTCATCCACTGGTCTCTGTTCGTGTTTTTTAATCATCCTAAAGGGAGAGACAATATCATTGACCTTTTTCTCTATCAACCACAGTAAGTTGTGTTGTGTTGGTGTCTTCAAATAGAAATGAAGGTGGATGATGAATATGCAAGAATGTCGAACATTTTTCAGCTCAAAGCCTGAAGCTGTTTCAGAAATTCAAATCATATTAACACTTTGAGTATTTTTTCCAAGCCTTTTTTGAGTTTTTTGGGTATAATTTGCTGTTCTTCATGGTTATACTTCCCCTTCAAGGAGATGGGGTGGTGAAGTAGGAAGAACTGGCTGGTTTTTTCCCTGGTATTGTATTGCATGAAGGGTGCATAAGCCATCTATCATGAATACTGTTTTGATATAAAATTGCATTATCTGAGCTTTATCTGGATTTTTCTTTCTAGGTATCTCAATGCAATTCAGACAATGTGCCCACATATCCTCAGATATCTGACCACTGCGGTCATTACAAATAAGGATGTTCGAAAACGTAGGCAAGTGCTGAAAGATCTAGTAAAGGTTATTCAGCAGGTAAAGACTGAAATATCTGATATTTTCTGTCCTTTTTACTGAGACTTTATACTAACTTCCTTCTAATAATATGCATGGTTTAGTAGTTTCCTACTTAAATATTTTGGTCCTCATTTACTTTCGGTGAATTCATTTTTCACTGTGAAGTAAAATGCAGGTCAGTCAGGGGGAAGACAGAATAATTTTTTTCCTCCTTTCATGTCAACAAGCATTGAGTAAAATGGAACATGCACTCAGTTTTGCTTTTCTTTTGGTGTGATTAAATGCAGAAATTCACTGAGGTATGTGAAATGGCTTTGGATCTGATTCTTCTTTTTCAGCCTTCTTTTTTCATTATTATTATTATTAAATAATAATAAGGAATTATTATATGAATAAGAGTTCTTGTTTGCATTTCAAAACCACTGGACTATGTGCATTTTATTGAAAATGCTTCTGTTGTCACAGTTATATGAGGATGTAGACATGGACAAGAGCAACAGGAGAGTTGTGCTTGATAGCAATCCAAGGGGATTATGGCAAAGATCTCTATGTGAAGTCAGCATGCAACTTGTGTACAAGCCATCATGTTTCAAACACTTCTAATAACAATGAGATATTGTGAATAATAAACTATGATATATATGTGATAGTGTTATTACAGGCTAGCAATCAACTATATCCACTTCAAGCATTGATGTAATTACCTATGCAAAGTACAATCAGTGCAAAGATGGAATTTTAAATGTATCTTAATCTGCTTTTAAGCATTACTGTACACAAAAGTAGCATAAGAAGCTATAAACTAGTTGAAGTGTTAAGACTCATGTTTTATCTTAAGCCAAACCCTGACTTTTAGCATTGAACTTCTACTGTAATATGAACTTCTAATATTTGAAGTAAAGTAACATTTTAAACTTGTTTTGCTTTCATTTTACCTTGCAGAACTGATAGGAATAAAAAAGAACCACTAAGGTGTTCCTTTTGAAAACGACTGTTGGCTTTGGTTTTGAAATATCTGATAAGAGTTTTATTTCTTGGTATTTTTCAACTCTGTATGGTTCATTATATTAAATGATGAAGTGGTAGAGATTTTATATATTTGAAAGCAGTTCAGACAGGATAACTAGTGACTGTCTACACAGGAAAAACAAAGCATTGAATGAAGTGAGTTGTCAAATGTCATATGATAGGCTGATTGCTCTACTAGCAATTAGAGATTGCTAATACTTGCAATACTTTTGCAAGTGTTGAACTGATAGGTAAGCAGTTTGTTCATCTCTATTAAATTTAAAAAGTGATTGATCCAGGACTCTTTTTACATACTGAATGCTAATAACATGGTTAAAAAGTACAGTTTTGATGGAAGAAACCTTTACCTATAAAACTGAATTTTAAACCAAAATAATGAGACTGTAAATACAGTTCTTTTGGGAAGGAAAGATAACTTTGATCCAGGGGGAAAAAAAAAAAATTTCTTAGTAATTCCTTTAATCTGCTGATCTTATTGTATGCTAAAACAGCTATTGACAGATACTGAGTTAGGCTGTCTTAATGTGCATGAGAGACTATCAGAGGATGTTTAATTATGTCTTAGTTTACACAGATGTATATAGATCCTGCCTTGTAGTTGAGAAAGTTGAGTAATTCCTGTAATGCTGTAATGAATTCAAGTATTTTTATATGTAGACAGTAGCGTTATTTGTGTTAGCTATGTTGTCCGTGCAAATTGAATGGTCATTCAATTTCAAGTATGAAGGATTTGATGTTGGGCTCATCTTTGAAATCAGAATTTAGGAAGAATATCTGTTCTTCTATATTTTAAGAAATTTGAAGGTTTGATACAGAACCAGCTCTAGTATCTGACTTTTTTAAACCCAAGGATTGCAGCACTAAATGCTGAAGGTGAAACTACACTTCTGGTTGCTTAACCAGACTATGGTGGGGTGGGGGGAGCATGCATTTAAGCAGCTTTTATAAGAGGAATTGGGAAGTGTAACTTAATATTTTATTTAAGATGATGTATGGACTTGTTTCCAGTATAAATTTTGTTTGAGGAATACAAGGAATACTTGAGTGTCCTTGTGGCCTTGATTTCTCATGTTATTCCTAATTTCTTGACAGGAGTCCTACACGTACAGGGACCCTATCACAGAGTTTGTGGAATGCTTGTACGTTAATTTTGATTTCGATGGTGCACAGAAGAAGCTGAGAGAGTGCGAAACAGTAAGATTTATAATGTTTATAAGCCTTTTCTTCCTTCAAGGAAAGATCTCTCAAAGTTGCACTGGCCAGCTAATTTGTTTTGAAGTGGTGTTTTATTCCATTGACAACGTTTTCTGATGAGCTGTAATTCATGGATGGTGGTGGGGGTTGACAATTCATTTTGTAATGCTTAAACAAGACTTACCAGTAAGAATATAGCTTTCAAATTATAAAAAGAATCGAAATGCATCTAAACTGTGGCCAGCAGGTTGAGGGAGGTGATTCTGCCCCACTATTCCACTCTGGTGGGACACCCAGCTGAGTACTGCATCCAGCTCTAGAGCCCTCAGCACAGGAAAAACATGGACCGTTGGAGAGCGTCCAGAGGTGGCCACAAAAATGATCAGAGGGATGGAACAGCTCTGCTATAAAGACGGGCTGAGAGTTCAGCCTGAAGTAGCCTGGGTTGTTCAGCCTGAAGAAGGGAAGGCTCCAGGGAGACCTTACTGCAGCCTTCCCGTACTTAAAGGGGGCTTCTAAGAAAGATGGGGACAGACTTTTGAGCAGGGCCTGTAGTGATAGGACAAGGGGTAATGGTTTTAAACTACAAGAGGGTAGATATCAGGAAGGAACTTTTCACACTGAGGATGGTGAACCACTGGCACAGGTTGCCCAGAGAGGTGGTAGATGCCCCAACCCCATAAACACTGAAAGTCAGGTTGGACAAGGCTCTGAGCAATCTGATGTAGCTGAAGATATCCCGTCTCATTGCAGGGGAGTTGGACTAATGACCTTTAAAGGTCCCTTCTGACCCAAACTATGCTATGATTCTGTATTTAAGCAGTTCTAGAACAAGAAATGAATTGCTGTCATGCGTTTGGTTGACTTTCAGCTTTTCCGTTAGTGTTTGAGAAGTGCTTGAAGAAAAGCTTGGATTTGCTTTTTGTTCTGAAAGATACTGCATCCTGGAATTGTAGTGGTGAAAAGTAATGTGAAATAACAAAAGGAGAGTTAAATACGTATTCTTCAAAAATTCTTAGTTAATCTACTATGAACAGTTAAAAATATGTAACACTTGGGTTGAATAGTGTACAAGTTAGTATTTCTAACAGCTGAACATTAGTACCAATTCTTACAGCCTCTGGTTGGCTTTACTTTCATTAGTATTAGTCACCTAATTGGGTAAATCGGAAGGCTTATCTTCACTGCATAGGACTGGTGGTCCTGTAATCTGAACTTTATAGGCACACTTGCACTCTAAGTAAGCTGGTCTGCATGGCAAGGAGAATGCTGATCAAATTGCAGAGTGAACAAGAATCCTGTAATATGAGGAAAGAGTTAAATTTTACGTGTTGGAGGGATCTTCAGTGGAATTATGACAGCAGTAGACCATATTGTCTTCTCTAGTGAGACCTCAGTGATCATGTTGGCATGCACTTTTGATTTAGTAAGCTGTGGAATAATGAATGTCTGCTAAATCTGTTGGGTTTTTGTCCACATCCTGAAATATACCGGGAAATCTTTAAATGACCTGTTCACTGATCTTGCTTATTGACCATGTCTACCAGTAAATTACTACTTACACATTTGTTCTCAGTGTTCCCTTTCTCCTTACACTTGCAGGTGCTTGTGAATGATTTCTTCTTAGTGGCATGCCTTGAGGATTTCATTGAGAATGCCCGTCTCTTTATATTTGAAACTTTTTGTCGCATCCATCAATGTATCAGCATTGGGTAAGATAACCTCTTAATAGAGCAGTTCAGAAAAATCAGTCATGGATGACATTTTGACAGTTTAACTTTAGTAATCAGAAATATTCAGTCATTAGATTAAAATTATTAAAATTTAATAGGATCGTTGTCTTTCTATTTTATAGTTCTAATGTGATATACTTAAATTATAGCAGTCATATTTCAGAAATGAATTTTTGTGGTTAAGTTTAAAACAACCTCTCTACCACCCCCACCCCTCCAAACAAACAGTGCTTTCAAGCTCAAGCCTTCTTGTTGTGTCAAGTTAGATATCTACTGGATTTAATGGGAACTTTGATACCCAGTGTCAGCTAAGTCCAGGTGTCTTAATCTGGAGCTCTATTCCACACACATTGATGTAGAGTGGTAATATTAAGTAAATGCAAATGGAAGTTGCTTAAACTTATTTATATTTGGTAGATACAGATACCCGTGTCTGTTTTACAGGTATGTTCCTTGAAAATAATTAGAACTGTATTACTTTTTTCATTAATTCAAAAGAAAACAATAGATCTTATGCCTTGTGGCACAAAGTGAGTGATCCGGCTGTAAGAAAATGATGTTCTTATTAGCAAGGGTGTCTCGTTTACTCAAATTAATTTTGTAAAAGCAGACTTTTCAAATGGATCAGCTCCGATGCCTCTATTGTAGAAACTAAGCAGGAAGATGTTGTTATGCATGCTTGAGATCCCTTTCCACTTGCCCTTTGCCCCCATTCCCTGTATTTCCACATCCCTTAAATTAAAAAGGGGAAAAAAAAGTGAACAACTCTGAATGCTATAAAAACCTCAATGGTAGGGAGCAATGCAGAGATCCTTGACAGCAGAAACCAGAGCTGTTAAATCGGTCAAGTTCAGTGGAGTCTTTTTACCAGCTTGCATCCAGTGCAAATGTGTGCATCTGGTCCTCTGAGGAAGTGATTTAATGCCGCTTGATTTCAAAAGAAAAGGACTTGAGAAAATTGTCTTTGAGTTTTGCAAGCTTATTGAAAGGATTACTTTTTTTCATAGATAGGTGTAGTCGGAGAAAGGACAAAGATTCCTATTACTTTTAATCTCTTGTCTCTGCTGTGTGACACGTTTATCTTCAATGCAGTTGGAAAATGATTTTTTTTATCCTCTATGTCAGCTTACAGTAGTCAATGAGTTCAATGTAAAAAGCAGACAGTGAATTTGAGCATTTTAATCAGCTGTGGTGTATTGTTTTAAGCATAGTCATAATAGTAGACTGAACTGGATGCTGTGAACTCCCGTACTTACATTCATTTTTATAAGGAGGTTAATACTTTATCTAAAATCAGTTTGAGTACTGCACATTTAGGGATAAAGGGGTTTTGAATAAGTGTTTGAAGAAAAAATGTAAATAAAGTTCTCTTAGGGATTAGTTTCTGGGGAATATAAAAGCCCATAGTGTCTTGCTATTTCCTGTAGATGAAGCACAAGTCAAGCACAAGTTCTTAGTGAAACTGGATGTTTAAGCTTTTTAAACTAACAACTAGATGTCTTTCCAAGAAGTCTCTTTGTCTGATCTGGCTCCCATCAATGAGCAGAAAGTCCGGAGGATATATCTTAAGTATACTTCAATTCTCTCTGTCAAAAGATACTGATAAACTGTGGGTAACATACCAGTGACCCATTACAGCAAAAATAGCAAGTTGTATTTAACAAATTAAGGTCTATGGTAGGTGGTTGTAATTTATTTAGCGTTTATTACTTATTTTACAGTTCATATGGCACAAAAAATATGTGGTATTTAAACTCCAAGTATGATAGAAAATATTGTAGTTGTCTCTCCTTGGTATGTGTAAGCGATTCATAAATATAGGTAGCAGTGTCGTCATTTCATGAACATTATGTTATGTTCTGAGGCAAGTGATAAACTTCTGAGTTGAGGCATATACTTCAGATTGACATGGATATTCCTGCCATGGATCAATTCAGGTAATTGCATGTGGAATCCATCATCAGTAATGAGATTCTTTTCAGTAAGTCAGTTGTGTTTTAAGTGATGGACATAAGCCTTAAACTTCTAGGCAATCTGTAACAATCATTAGTTTTGGACTTAAGAGGGAGTGCATAAGTATTTCTTGGTGTGTTTCAGACTTGTTTTTGGAGAAATTAGCCTGTCGACATGCTTTTAATTAAACATTTAATTGAGGCATAGTTCTTGCATTTCTTTGTCCACAAGTGATTTCCACTGCTATTCCTGGAGTTGAAAACTAGTTGGTTGTACCGCAGTGCTTGAGAAGTACTGTTTAGCTATCCAGAACAAATTTGAAAACAATTAGTGGGAAATCCGCTATTCCTTATGTTAAATGGAAAAATAGATGGCTCATTTAATATTTTCTTAACTACTTGCATCTGTTGGGCATCTGACGTTTTTCCAAATGATGTCGTTTCTTTATCAGTTTTAAAATTTATACATCCCAAACTATCCTGTAATTAGTTTACTCTTTGAAATATCATGTTTAATAGGGAGTAATAGATGAAATTAATTCAGAATGTGTTTTGGATAGTTTGTATTTAATTGAAGAGATGTCTATGTTTCATTCTTCTTTCCTCTGTTTTTCTTCTGTGCACAGTACAAGATAAGCTTGTTTATGTATGATGATGTGTGGAATTCAGTAAACTTGCCTTTTAAGCAAAGGAAAACTTAAATAATATTTGTTCCAGCATGATGTAAATAAGTGAATCCCCTTATAAAGCAGAGAGATAGAAGTAATCTAAAGAACTATTTTTGAAACTACTGTTGGGAAACTACCCTTTGAAATCATCTGTAACTTTAAATGGTAGACAGTATTCTTTAAATATTAATAAAATTATTTCATTATAATTCATTAATTGGATTATAATGGGAGTCTTATAAACAACAGTAATCTAGAACGCAACTTTTATTGCTTTAATTCTTTGGTGTTGATTGTGCTAATATGTATTTGTGAATCTGAATGTGTCACTATCGAACTGGTAAACAATTAGGGGGACGAAGCTGTAGTTTGCATCTCTTGAGAGTATTAGATACCTGTTTTAATAGTGTGATAGGAGAATAGTGGTGTTTGTACATAATTGTAATCAGGATAAATCTTCAGTGCATTTGCTCTGCAAGGATGGAGAAAGCCTCTTTAGTCATATGTGTTGCTTTACTAGGCAAGTACCTCCTCCGTGTTATACAGCTGGGCACTTCAGGTGGTGCTGGCTGCTTCAGTGTAGCCTGCAAGGAGACCCTAAAATGGAATCCAGTTGCCACAAGTGTTGAAATAAGGTCATTTTTTGCATCAAAGATGTAATAAAGTTTTAATTTTTTTAATAGATAGCTTTATTTCACTAAAAGATAGCTGTTACTTGATAACTTTGGTTATTTTATATTAAAATTTTAAATCTGTGTAAATCTCAAAGCTAGAAGTTGAGATAAAATAGGGGTTTTTTATATGCCTTTTTACCCCATCATTTTCATTCTATGATTTGTAAGTTTTCAAAAATGCATGTGCAGGAAAAAACACTTGTACAGAGGTGTGTTATTTCTGTTACTGTAGCTGCATATATACTCTATGTTTGTGTATCTAACTTTTTTTAATTAAAAAAAAATCCCACCTCTGAAGAAGATGAGCTAGTAGCATTTAGACATAATAGGAAAAGGTAGAATTATCTGTTAGGTGATATAAAGCATTTACTGGTTTCTGGCTTGGAATGACTGTCTAGTGCCTTCTCCCCCTCCAAGTACAAAGGGACTTCAGGTTAAGAAAAAAGCAAAACCTAGGTGCTGTAGGTTGGAAGCCTTTCAGGTTGACTCTGAAAGTCATCTGGTTTAATCTTGTGCACCCAATTACAACTCTGAGCAGGACTCCCTGCAGTGTTCCATTATGCTGCTTAAGGCTTTGCCTAGTTGATTCTTGACTATCTCCAAAGATGGGGGTTCCACACTTCAATCCCAAAGGTACATTGCTTAATCCCCAGTGTAGTGGCAGTAGCCATTCTTGTGGTCATCTGGAGGAGTTATTTTATCTGAATCCTATTGATGTTTCTAAAAGAGAAATATGAGAATTCCTGTAACACACACACATCCCAGCCCACGTTCTTTCAGCTCAAAATTTCTTTAGTTTCAGGTCAGGTGCTTAACATCAGTGATTCAAAGGTAGTAGAGCAATTTGTGGCTTCTCCCTATTGAAATATCAGTCTTGCTCTGCCTCGATGATTGATAATGCCACAAAAATTTACATCCCTGATAGCTTCTATTCTCTTATCTGCTTTAACTTTCTACAATTCTAATTCAACCACAGATTAAAAATTCTAGTGGAACAGTAGCAACTGCAGTTGGATTTTAATTCCCCTTGCTTTGGCAAACTCCAGATATTTTGCTACAAATTTGTCATGTCATTTCACTTGAAGTGAGTTCAGTGCAAGTTGGTATTTTAAGTTACTTTTTTTTTTCTACTCACCTCACTTCATGTTCGTCTGTGGCAAAAAATGGAATTTACTTTTATAGTTGGGAGAAGGGTAAGAGATGAAGAACATATAGCAGAGAAAACTGTATATAGGTAGTCTAGACAGGTAGATGGGCTAGTAATTGGTAGATCAGAAAGTATTTACTTGACACTAATAATTGTAAAGACAAAAATCACTTTTTCAGGGTAGAGAAAAATAAGTTTAAGCAAGTTCCTGTGAAAAGATGAGAAATTGATCTCTTCTGCAACTTGACGTAGCCAGCTGGTTTTTTGGTCATGTCTGTACCGCTTACCTGATGTTTGTTACCTCAGTCTGAAATCTGATGGAAGAATGAGCGTTACAAAAGTCCTGTATGAGCCAACTGCCAGCAGGAAGCTAAAGGAGTTGGCTGGAAAGCCACAGGAAACACCATCAGAAGGGATTATTCCTGGACAAGAGTGCTTGTTTCATTAAAATTTTTCCTTTCCTTGTCCTCCCCCACCATCCCTCCTTGAAATTGCAGAGTAGTTTGAGCATAGTGTATCTGTCACATCTGCTATACCAAACTTTGTCTCATGGCTCTTGCTGAAAATTCAGGGTGAATTTTATTGCTAAACCCTTTCCTGGACTAATTAGTCTAAACTTTCTTGACTGCTGGCTGGATTTAAATAAGAATAAAAGCAATTCAATTCAATTGTTCCATTTTATGTTGTGGCGAGATTGTGAAATTGTCGATTAAATGAAGAATGTGCATGTAGGCAAGGTTTAATAGGAATATATAAATTGTACAGGTTCAAGATTTAAGTGCAAAATGATATAGCTCAGAATGAGTAAGTATATATTTCAGGATGTGAATTCCTTGTAGTGTCCCACTGTAAAGCGGTGGGGGTGGGAGATGTGCAAGAGTGTATGTATGTGAGCTTTAAAGTCACTTCAGTTAAATGAAAGTATGCTTTCCCAGATATTTAGTATTTCTTAAACACAGGTCTTGGGCTGTGCCAAATTTTGTGTTGGTTTAACGTGTGTTCCATAGTCCTTCGTCCTATGTTTACCAACATCAGAGGGATTCTATTTCACCTTTTGATAAGTTTTTTGTCTTTAAGTATGTTGGCAGATAAACTAAATATGACTCCTGAAGAAGCAGAAAGATGGATTGTCAATCTAATTCGAAATGCACGATTAGATGCCAAATTGGATTCAAAGCTGGTAAGACTGTACAGACAGATAGAAGTGAATTTGTTACTTTATTCAGGAGCAGTGAGTTCTAATTTCTGCTGTTTGGTTTTCTTTGCCTATAAAGTGTAGTGGACTTTATTTATTCTCTCTTGATCATGTGTGTAAGATGATTTATGAAAGCTCTGAAAACAGAGCATTAAATTAAAGGCTTACGCATTCTGAGTGATTATTAAATTTGCTTTACCTTTGCTGTGTTTTAGGGCCATGTAGTCATGGGCAACAATGCAGTCTCACCTTATCAACAGGTGATTGAAAAGACCAAAAGCCTGTCTTTTCGTAGTCAGATGTTGGCTATGAACATTGAGAAGAAATTGAATCAGAGTGGTAGATCTGAGGTTGGTATTCTGCTGTCTTTTTTGTGAGATACTTGAGTATAATTCATAACCTGTTCCTTAATTCATCGGAGGTACCTACCTCTAGTTCTAACACTAGGAATTAAATTGGAAAAAGTTTATTTTCTTATGGTGAGTGTTACACAGCAATTCTTGTTTTCTTCTCACTTCTCCTCATCAAAGGGCTGATTTTGAAAGATGACATTTATGAAAGTAGTTATATTACTTTTTTCAAGTGGGTTGTACTTCGAAAAGTATCTGTGTGTGTATATATATATATAGTAGTGAGAGAAGACTGAATAAAGCTTAGGACTGGAACATGAAGGAGGAGTTGTGCAAAACCCTAACTGTTAAACCCATTTCATGTAGTACTAAAGAATATAACTAGGTCAACCAGAGGTTTAAGTAGAACCAGTGAAAATAAGGAAGTTGGCAAGATCATCTGGTTTCGCTTCTGTCCACCGTGCTATATGGGAAGCTTTGTGAGGGAAGAGAACACTGTGAGGTGGATGACTCTGAGGTCCACTAAGGACCCAGCCATACCTACTTTAAAAATTTTAATATTTAAGTTCTTTTAATGTGTGGTTCGGTGGTTTTTTTTATGAGGCTTCCTCACTGCTTGGCTGAAATATTGATGAAAATTGTACAAGCAGTGGTGGATTAGTTTATTCCATTAAAGGGAAATAATGTGAAACTTAGTGTTATTATTTTCTTTAAAAAAATCCAGCTGCCAAATTATTTTTATTTTGGAATCTTCTAGAACTTTTCCATTTTGAAAGTACTAGCCTGGGGGACTCAAGCTGTACAGCTTAATTACAGCATGTATTTCTACTATATCAACACTTGCTTTAAACTTACTGAGTATCCTTCACTAATTAACAATATTTCCACTTCATAGCCATATATCAGTATTTTTTTAATAATTTCCCATAAATTTCAGTAACCAACAGATAATATAATAACTTCTTTTCTACTGATCCTTATTTATTTATTTTTTAGGCACCTAACTGGGCTACTCAAGACTCTGGCTTCTACTGAAATACTTCTGCAAGAGTGGGGGGGGAAAATCAGTTTTTATTTGACTAAAAAGCACACAAATATGTAACTTTTTTGAGAAAAGGTAATGAAGTATTCCATCTAACACTACTGAATAAAATTGGCTAACTTTAACAGTCTGTGAATCTCTCTAACTTCATTAGTTAGGTATACTTACTTCTGTTGTATTTTTAGCATAATGGCATTCTGAAGCATTTCGGATCACAGTTTGTAGAATTTAACGTGTCAATTCTTTTACATGTGTTCGTACCAAAGGATGCTATATTGTTCCTAGAGCTGTCTGAGTCTGGAAGCGGGGAATTACAGTTATATGTTATCTATTTCAAATGTTGCGTTCTAAAAAATTAAAAGCCAATGGTGTGAGCAAATGGATCCCCACTGAACATTTGGTCAAACAAGATCTCTTTCTGGACTTCCATGGTTTTGTAGATTGTCACAAAAGCTTGGCAGAGCAAAGGCATGTGTAACCTATACCTTTTATGAAACCTAACATGACTTACGTGCAGAATAATTTGGGTAGACCTGTGTGCTCATGCAGAAAGATTTTTTTTCTGTTCTGAATCTCATTTTTAATCTTGCCCAGTCTTGGAAACTTTCTGGAGTAGAGCTTTTTGTTTCAGGGGAAAAGGTCTTTCAAAAAATCTGGCTAGCGAGACAAGTATGGTTCAAAGCTTTTATTTTGAAATCTGAAGTTCTTAAGATTCACGACACAAACATGAAGCAACCAAACTTGTATTGTTCAACTGTTGTATTTTGAAGGGGTTTTTTTAAGGTTGGTTGGTGGTTTGGGTCTTGGGGTTTTTTGCCTTTTTTTTTTTCCAGCCAGTGTTTCACAATTCCCTGGGTTTCCTTAGCACCTTTGCACTGCAGAATATATCATAGCACCTCTAAGCCAGAAAATCTAAGATCCTTTTTAGGGTTCTGTGAAATATAGTGACTGTTTAGTAAGGTGAATATGAATATTGGAAAGCAAGAGACACTACCTTTGCATACTGTTTTGCATTTAAGGTTGGCGTGAATTAGTGTCTCACCTTCAACCTTATTCCAGCTGTGTGCCTTTTCCCCCTCTTTGTTCCTAAAGTTCTGGAACTCATCTGCATATGGAAAGTTGTTCCAACTCTTCAACCCTCCTGCTTACTGTCTGCAGTTAAATGTTGACTGGGAAGCAGTCATGGGAACTGATTTGTCCATGAAGATTGATTGCAGGTGTCTTTAGAAGTCATTTTCAAGGCAGGCTTTTATCTTTACTCTCCCATGTCTAATCCTGTGCAATGTACCATACCAAACTGGGGGGAAGCAGTCCCATATGCTGGAGGGCAGGGTCGCAATTCAGGGAACTGCAGCAGGTTGGAGGAATTGGCTGATGGGAGCATCCTGAAGCTCAGCAAAGCTGAGTGTCAAGTCTTCCATCTGAGATGGAATAACCTCATGTAGCAGTGCAGGCAGGGGTCATGGACTAAATAGAAAGCAGCTTTCCAGAAAAGGACTTGGGGATATGGTGGACAGTGAGGTGAACACAAGTCAAGTCAGGAGATCTCCTTGTGGAAGGAGACATGCTCAAAGCAGAACCACAGTGTCCTGTCTGGGCTTTATTAGTAACGAGGAGAGCCAGCAGGTTTAGAGAAATTATTCCTTCCCTTGTGAGAACACTGCTGGAGTACTGTAGCCAACTTTGGTCTTCCTAATGCAAGGTGGATATTGATCCTCTGGTTAAGTCCAGTGGAGAGATACCAAAATGGTGAGGAGACAAGAGTATGTGACATAAAAGGAGAAACAGAGATGAGTGATGTTCAGCCTTAAGAAAAGGTGAAGTGCAGATTTTATTGCTGTCATCAGTCCCTTCAATGGGAGGATTCACAGCAAGGCTGGTCTTGAAAGTGCATGGAGACAGGATGAATGGCAATGGGCACAAATTGGAACATGGGGAAATTCCAGTTAGATTTAAGGGAGAGTAAAAAATTTTTTTTAAATTTCTTTTTACTGTGAAGATGATCAAGCAGTGGAACCAGTCATGCAGAGAGGTTGTGGAATCTCCATCACTGGAGATGCTCTACTTTATAAGTATCTGACCGTCTTGATAGACTTAGACCTGCTTTCAGCAGCGTGTTGGACTCTGACCTTCAGAGGTCCTTTCCAGTCTAAATTATTTTATTACTTAATTTGTTGTATTTATTAATAGACATACTACTAATAACTTATTTTTATATATACTTTAATACAGTAATGGAAGTGGTTTCCAGCAGATGATTTAGAAGTCTAACTGTCAATTTTCTCTTCTGAGAAGTTCGACTAAATCATCTGCTGGATAATAGCTTTAGTCTAAGGGTCTAATCCTGTAGTGCTTACAGTTATAAAAACAGAGAAGGTAGTGAAAAGGGGGGCAAAAATCATAGTGAAGATCATAATTTAGAAGGTAATAGGTGTACAGGGCATTTGCAGGGAGAAGTGTTCTACCATTACATAAAAGGCTGTGGAAGAATAAAATTAGAACTGGGATACGTGTGGGGTAGGGATATAGTTAATGATTGTTTCTTTAAATGTTTTTCCTGGAAGGCATTAGTTTTTGGTTACTAGCGCATTCAGTAGGTACTCTTGATTCTGCAGGCAGCTTCTTTTACACTTTCTCCTGTGTATGCTCCTTGGCCAGTTGTTCTTGCTGTCACGCAATGCTCCTTTTGTCCAAACCCCTTGTGTGGCGCAACTGTCTGTGCCTTGGAAGAACTGATCCAGCTGTAATAAATGTGGTTCATTATGCTTAACTATGTCTTTTTTGTCTTCTGATTGTCAACACTGGTGGTGTAGCAGATGGAATTTAAGAGGTGATGTAAATACACAGTTAAAGGCAGAGTGTTGCTGGACTACAAAAAAGCTGGCCTACAGCACAAGGGTTCACTTATTTATGTATAGAATTGGTTCCTGTGGTGGGGATGAAGAGTCTGAATCGGAGCTCAAGTTAGCAAGTTGCCTTTGGAGAGCAGAGCTTCCTAAGGTTGAGCATGCTCTTTATGCCAAGTTTCTTACTGTCCCTCAAGTTTTCTCTTGAGAATGACTGAATCGCAAACTGTAGATCCATTATATATCACTATAGCCCCAAAACACTCACTCTAGAACAATCCAGATTGCATAAATAGCTGTGTTCCCTGTTTGAGAACACAATCACAAAAGTACTGTTGTGTAATAATTAAAGAATTTTAAAATGAGATGGAATGTTTCTTGTAAACAGCAGGGAAATGGCCCACATGCATGCAGCTTTAATGTTGACAGGAAGAATTTACTTAAATAGTCAGAGTTCAAAAACATCTGATGCTTACATGGTATTTTGCTCCTGGCTTTCCATTCTGGTTTTTTCGGACTTTTCCCTTTGTCAGGTGTGCGTACATGGAAAAGGTACGTGCAGATTGTAGCACTGCTTAAATTTGTGGTAGTTTCCCCTCAGATACTGAGTGAAACGTGAGTTACATGAACAGCGGTTGAGGCCCGAGGATTTTTTTCCATGTGTAAACCTTACAGGAAAACCTCAGTTCAAAGTCTTACAATGCATCCCGTAAATGTATTGTGCATTAAAATTTTTTTTGTCATTCCTACACTTGAATTCCTGCATGTTGTGGTTTAGCCTCAGATGGCAACTCAGCACCACACAGCCCCTCACTCACTCCGCCATGGTGGGATGCAGGAGAGAAGCGGAAGAGTAAAAGTGAGGAAACTCATGGTTTGAGGTAAAGACAGTTTAATAGGTAAAGAAGAACCCTGCCCGCAAGCAAAGCAAAACTCTTCCCCTGGGCAGGCAGGTGTTCAGCTATCTCCAGCTCCATCATGCGTAATGGTTTCTTGGGAGGACAGATGCCATCACTCTGAATGTCCCCCCACCCTTTCCTTCTTTGTCCCAGCTTTATATACTGAGCATGATCATATAGTATGGAATATCCCTTTGGCCAGCCTGGCTCAGCTGTCCTGGCTGTGTCCCTCCCAGCTCCTGGTGCACACCCAGCCTTCTTGCCAGCTGGACTGTCCTTGACTGCTTAGCCACAGCTCGAAACATCAGCATGTTATCAACATTTTTTCATCACAAATCTAAAACATATCCTCACACTGGCTTCTGTGAAGAAAACTAGCTCTATCCTGGATGAAACCAGGACATTGCACCAACAAGCTACTGTATTGCTCAAAGGCTCCCTCATTAAAGAGTTCAGTCCAGCTCAAAAACAACAACATTTTTGCTACATTCACATGCAGTAAATGATCATGCGGCATTTCTTTTCCAGTCCTTTCTAGGAAGCTCAAAGTATGAAGTTTATTCAACTTGCAGTAATGCAGACTGATGCTTTTGTGGGTTGATTTTTTTTTTTTTTTTTTTTTTTTGTGTGGAGAGGTGTATAAATCCTAGTGCCTTGATCACTGAAGCCACTGACTTACATACACAGCTATGTAGGTTTCAGAACAGGAGTTCAAAATGAAGATTCATATCACTTTCCAGAAGAGATACTTGCTAGTAAGTTCACTAAAATAGAAATCATAAAAATTATATAAAACTCAGAGTAATTCAGAGTTCACTGGTGTTATCTTGGGTACCTACAAGTATGTTGTAAGTCATGTTTCCAATTTTTTGAAATTCTGATTTCAGATTAAAGGATTTTTTAAAACAAATAATTTGTTTTACTTTTGTCAGTTACCTGGCATTGCCTCTGCCTAGGAGAAGTTCTGAAAGAGTTGGTGTCAAAATAAAACCAAAAACTTAAAAGGTGACTTTATGGTTGGAGAGGAGTGCATGTGTTCTGAAGCCCATCTGTTGTGCAGTTTATGTTGCTGAAATCATTTTCTTAAATTGCATAGATCTCACCTGGCTTTGATAGGTGAAAGGGGAGGTTTAGATTGGATACGACGAAAAATTTCTTTACTGATAGAGTGGTCAAACATTGGAACAGGCTGCCCAGGGAGGTGGTGGAGACACCATCACTGGAAGCGTTCAAAAAATGTGTAGACGTGGCACTTCAGGACATGGTTTAGTGGGCATGGCAGTGTTGGGTTGACAGTTGGACTTGATGGTCTTAGAGGTCCTTTCCAACCTTAATTATTCTGTGAGAATGACTCATTCAAAATGTTGGTATGCTGTCAGCTATAA